TGTCCTGTCGTGCTATGGTGTCGTGTTACTGCTTTGGTTAGCCACCTCATGTTAGCGTAGCGTAGCTCCAAACACCAAGATGCTCAGTTGCAAATGAAACGCATTCTTAGCCATAACATGTGCAACGCTTCTCCGACGCTGTCAGCCAGGAACACCGTTCTTACAAATCCTTTTCCTGGCTGGGTCAGGGCTGCTAGCTGATAAAACAAAGCTCGGTAAAAAAAAACTCTTACCACTACGAAGTTCTGCTAGTTTCACAACAGTCACGCTAGCCTACTGACCAATCACACCGCACGTTAATGCTGACGTACTTGTAGGTCATCCAGAAGGTCTGGCACGTCAAAGAATTCATCCAACATGTCAAACTAAAGATCTGATTGGTTGAAGACTATGACGATCAACAATATCGTCCCCATTCACTTAAACTGCAAAGGCTATCCAGCAGGCCTCGGGCCTCTGTTCTTACCTAGAGACACAGAGGTGAGATCTGATTGGATAAACTTAAAACAAGCTGCACTGGAAGCAGAGCAACTGAGGAAGACAGTAGCTGTGCAATGAGAAAATAAGATGATGGGAAAAATATTTAGAATAAATTATAAAATAGTTATAACTTTGTGATTCTGTCAAGGCCAGCAGAGAAGGCTTTGCTGGCCCTGACGGCTCACCACTGCAAGTTTTGTTGTGGAATATTTCTAGGTTAATCGGGAGAAGAGAGTTTTTGTTCACAAATCAATAATAAAGTCTTAACAAGATTCAAGTTTGTCTTTGTCTGTTTATTCTCTTGCAAGAGGGAAGAAAACACAACAGCTACCTATTCAGTAGAGTACTGTGGCAAAGCTTCGACTAACTACAGGATTCATCATCGTTTTATACATGGAGATGTCCTCTTCTGTAGATAAATCATCCACAGGGGAGGAGAGGTCTTTTGACACAGGCTGTCTTGATCTGCTCATTATCTGGAGTCTGCCAGGTGCGTTCAACTGAGAGTCAGTTACGGTTTCAAGGTCTGTCTCAAACTTGCCATACAGACAAAGAAGACAGTGTGTCTTCTCTTCCCGTTCTTGTGTGGGAGCATGTGATCAGCTAAAAGACAAACGGGACACCAGCTTCATAAATTGATGAACTACTTCTGCAGGAGACTGCTGTGTTTTGTCAGTGTCTGTGTTCCTCACTTTCTCTTTCAGTGGTACATCTTTTAAAACTTTCCATGATACTGAAACATATTTTCCCATTACAGTTTCCACCTACTGTATGCTTTGCATGGATATATAATAAGCCTCTATTGATGGTGACCTTTGCCCTCTGACCCTGTGCTCCGTGCAGCTGAAGATGGTGCTCATCAAGTGCTGCGACATCTCCAACGAGGTGCGGCCCATGGAGGTGGCTGAGCCCTGGGTCGACTGCCTGCTGGAGGAGTACTTCATGCAGGTGGGACCAGAACTCACAACACATTCAAATGATTTTTGCAGTTTGCAGTTCTTTTAGACACGGTCATCTTTTTCTGCAGCAACGGTCAGACATCATCATCATGTTAGCAATGATGAGACTAACTTTCTGTTACATATATGATAAAAGATGGATGTAAAAAGAGAAGGAAATCAATGGGATGAAGGAATCATAACTTCCCCTTAAAGCTGTATATGAACGAGCAAAGAATACATTTCTCCCTCCTATTCTTGAAAAGCAAGTTGATGGAGATTTTCTGTGTGTGTGTGTGTGTGCGTGTGCGTGTGTGTGTCTGCGTGCGTGTGTGTGTACGTGCGTGCGTGTGTGCGTGCGTGTGTGTGTGCGTGTGTGTGTGTGCGTGTGCGTGTGCGCGTGTGTGTGTGTGTGCGTGCTGCTCAGAGCGACAGGGAGAAGACTGAAGGGCTCCCCGTGGCTCCGTTCATGGACAGAGAAAAGGTTACCAAGCCGACAGCTCAGATTGGCTTCATCAAGTTCGTCCTCATCCCCATGTTTGAGACGGTGATGAAGGTGAATATGCAGGACTGATTATGAAGATCAGAGTAATATAGTTGTAAAGTGGGAGGTGCCGCTGGTTATGGAGGTATTGATGTGAAGTAGCATTTGAATAAGTATGAATCAGATTCGCAGCATGTGTGTACTCGTTTGATAGGGTTTGGCTTTTGGTGATCAAGTCGATCGAGTATTTCAAGTAAGCGACGATGAGCCCAAAGCCTTTGGCAATGAAAGCAAGTTGCACAGATATGCTGAGTGGGGCTGACTGACGGTTGCACACTATGAGTGTTATGTAAAGCCACGTGCTCCTTTCATACAGATGATTGAGGTTCATGTCCACCTTAGAAGAGCTCAGATTCTCTGTGCCCTCACGTTGTCATTGAAATGATGATGAGTACATTTAGACATTCTTCACTTGTAGTAAAGTGGGGGTGTTGATTTGGATGAGAAACCTGAAGATATGGCTCGTTCCCTCGTTTGTGCCGATAAACAAAGGCACGGCCCGCATAGTGTTACAGTAAACACACACTGTGGGCCGACACCACACTAGAGACTCTAGAGTAGCAGTGGTGTGTTTACTGGCTCTCAGAGTTTCAGCAGTTTGGTCAAATGTTAGCTCTTCTTTGAATGATGACTGAAGACTAGATTCAGATTGAATGGAGCCAGAAGTAGAGGTGAAATGCTGCCCTCCATTTCTTTGGATCTGTTGCCAGATCGTACACAGAGCACATTTAAACAAACACACTGCTGCTCTAAAGTGCCCGGTACAGTTCTACAGTTCTCTGATACAAAGCACTGAGTGTATCTGTGTGTGTGTACTAGCTGTTCCCACAGATTGAGGAGGCGATGGTGCAGCCACTCAGAGAGTCAAGAGACCGATACGAAGAACTCAAACAGATTGATGACGCCATGAATGAGGTTGGAGGTTTTCTATAAGCGTGTGGATGCAGCTACTTTGTCTTTGGTGCAGATTGTGACTGACAACAAGCAATGTTCCCTTCAGGTGCAGAAGAATAAAAGTGAGAACTTGCCCATGAAGAAGAAGTAAGAGGTTTTGAAAGGTAGGAGAGAACAGAAGCTGCTGAAGTGTTCTGTCAGCGTACGGCCTGGTTCCTAACTGTGTCTGTTTCAGCAGCAGTGAGCGTAGAGCACGAGAGTGAAGCACTGAGACGTCCAGTAAACTGGAGTTGTTAGCCTCATCGGTCCTTTCCATCACTCGCTTCTTCTTGTTGAAGAGCAGAGGACCATCAGGATGTGTGATCTGGGAAAGTCCGCTGGATGTCCAGTCAGTCACAGGAATGTGATGAAGCAGCTGTGAGACAGCGTTACAAACTACTGATGGACTCAAGGACCAGACGGACGATCCAAAGACTTTTTCAGCAAATGTCAACTTTGACTACTTCAGTGAACAATATTTAGATACATATCTTGCAATGTTTTTTATTTAAATGTGTTGTTTTTTACAGATTGTACAGATTTTTAGTGACCTTTGTTCTTTGGTACAAAAAATAAAAGGATTACTCTCATTACAGCATCCTGTCTGGACTGTTAATGTCTCTGGTTTCAGTGATCCAAACCTTCTCTCTACTTCGTTCTATACACTGTGTGAACATGCAATGCTTATGGATAATGGTCTGCTACTTCACAAGGCTGGGGTCAGCAGCTAGAGCCCAACTCTTCCCCTTAGTTTTTGGTGATTTGATAAACTGCACATTTGTTCAGAAATATGCTCCCTAAGCACAATACTGGCTGCACCAATCACTACTTGCATGTTAATAATGGGTCAAGGGGCTGTATGTAGTGTGAAAGAATCATTCATATGATGAATCTATAGACTATCATCTTTACTACATTTCTCAGCTTTGCACGTAGGAATCGTTTTAGCATCTTTCAGCTCATTGTTTTGGGTTTATGCCCTGCAACGTGAATCTTTGGTTCACTCTCTCACCAGCCTCATGTCCGCTGGTGTTCAGTGAGGAGGTGTGAGAAAGCCACTGTACAGTACCTGCTCAGCACAAACAGTCGACAGATACAGTTTGTGATGAGAGGTGCGACTCCGTGAAAAGTTTAGAATATTTTAATTCATATTTAAATGGGATGCGAAGAGAAAAATGGCGACGGGTTTCTAGCAACGCGTCTGTGTGACCGGGCCCGGAGGTGCAGTGTGGAGGATCTGTCAGGCGTGTCGGAGAACTATGATGGCCGACACTCTCTGGAGCCCGTGTTTGGTGTGTCTGCTCTGGCTGCTGTGGAAACATGGCGGCGCAAGTTGCATCATAGAGAACTCATGGAGATGTAAAGGTCTCGTTCTAAAGTCACAAAATCACGATTCTTATTTTTAGGTGACTATACAATAAATAACGATACTTATCAATATTGTATTGAATTTTTGCCAATAGACCCCCCCTCCCAATGCTACACACTGGGCCTTTAAAGGCACTTTTGTGAATGGTTCAACAGCAAAGTTCAAGACCGGATTGGAATCTGCTTAATTGCTCAACAGGTCCTCTAATCTCTGTTGACCCTCCAAACTCCGTGCTGCTGATGAGAACCGTGTGATATACAACAGCTGCTACATTGACCGGAGTTATTGTTATTAGTTTGTGAGCAGACTGAACACAGCATGCATTGGTTCAGTTTGTACATTTTGACATGTCACTGTGGAGAAGCACAGGTGTCAGTAATATCACTGAGTATTGCATACTACATACTACCTGTGTACTTGTACTAGCCTTTAGTACGTGTCCCCTGCAAAGACAAAGCCAGTGAAGCTTAAAGAAAGCTCAATGTTTCTCCAAACATTCTACACTTTATTGTTTGTTGGCTGTTCCTGAAGCCATTTAACCCCAGTTCACAATTAGTTCGATCTTTTTCTTAATGTGAGCAGCTTCTCCATCTTCCTAATGCATTGCATTGTGGGACAGTAGTGTCCATAAACAGCACACTTCTTATAGCCTTTTAGTCTGCATACAGACTCTTTAGAAGGTTTGTTTAGTCACTTACCAACATGGCTGCATTAGTGTGACGTCTGGATGTGTCACAGCTCTCGTATTGTCTGGTACTGTGGCTAAGTGGAGAGCAGGCCGTCCTTCAATCAGAGGATCGGCAGTTCGATCCCCGGCTCCGCTAGTCGCATGTCGATGTGTCCTTGAGCAAGACGCTCAACCCCAACAATGTCTCCCTTCCTGTGCCTGCGGTGTGTGAATGTGATAGAATCTGAATTGTAAGTTGCTTTGGATGAAGGGGTCTGCTGAATGACTGTGATGTGCTTCTTGGCTCTCTGTCATGTAAGTCAGTGATCTGTTGGGCCTTTGGAGATAATCTTGTCCTGAACAAGAACAAGTCACTCCTTCATCACAGCATCATGTCTTGAACTTTGACCATCTCGCTCATTAATCTGTCACTCGAAGCTTTGACGCTGTCATCAGACATCAGACATTGATTTGGACTCACTGCAACAAATATTAGTTATTGAAATGTATTTTTACACATTTGACTCAACACACCACTTTCTAAAGAAACGACCTTTGTGATCTTGTATTCTGTAATAGTGGCACAGAGACACTTATGTTACATGTTTCTGGGTTAATGCTGAACATACGAAGAATTAACAGAATGGGAAAATGATGTGGACAGAAGATGCCTTTATTGTAAAACTATCCATGAATGCAAATAGTCTGAAAGGAAACCCGATATTCACCAGTTCAAGCATGGAATTCTACTTTGAAACACTACAAAGGAGAGACAGATCATAAAGCCATCAGGACTATGTCCACAACGCCCTCAGAACAACTATGAAGCTGCAACATGTATTTGAGAGTCTAGGATTCACAAACACCCAAAGCTCTAAACTCTACCGTAGACGCTTTGTGTGGAAGTAGTCACAATGTCAGACGGACCACTTCCTCAGACCAACAGCACGGCTGTGTTCGACGTAGAACGCTTTCATGATCTCAAAGAGAATAATGCAGCATCATCATCATGTGGAGGGATCGTTTAATGTTTCAAAAAGTCAACACTGGGTTTTAATGACGTCACGTATTCACACGTCTCTGAGTCGTGAGTAGATCACATTAATCGTGCCAACTATATTCATATACTGTATATGAATAGAGAGTCACAGGGTTAACCCTTCATATGCTGTAGAGACTATTTACATTCAACGGCCACTTTATTAGGTACATCGCTTCAACTGCTCGTTACCTCATTGGCCCGTCATTACCTAACCTCTGGTCAGACCAGACTGTGGTTCTCATGCAAATCAAAGACGTTCTTCAAATCCAGGCATGCTGCATCAGTTCTGTGCACGAGACTAAAATACGTTAAAGATGTGGTGTAACGCACAGGAAGTGACAAGTGAGAGTGGAGCAGCAGTGAGCGTGAGGACAGGGCGTATGGTGTACATCCACAAATGGAATGCGTCATTCAGCGATGGTGGCAGAAACAGAAGTTTAATTAGCTGCAACGTTTATTTCTCTAAATCAGCCAGAAGCTTAAGGCAAACATAAAAATCCCTCAACACAGGCCATGTGGTCGAGCACATGCTCTCCACGGGCCTCATCAATACATCATCAAAGCATCAAACATGAAGGAAGCAATATCTCTCTGTCTCTCTCAGCGTGTGTTCAGGTCGATGACTGAACTCCAGCTCCTGACGTCTCCTTCTTGGCCTTCTTGTTGCCGTTTGCTTTCTGTGCCGTCGTCCTCTTCAGCTGCTGCTCCTCCAGTCTCTGCTGCTTCTTCTGCAGGTATGCCGTCACGTTGTCAAAGCTCACCTTGTACAGGTGCTCGAAGCGGCTGTCGGTCCTTGTGGAGGCTGTTGGTGACAGGAAGCACAGGCATATGACAAATAGCAGACGGGGACATAAACCAGAAGTTCATATTCGGGTCATATCTGATTGCATATTGCCGAATTTGTCTTTGGAAGATGGAAGCAAGAAACACGATATTACATGCTATGCACCCCGACAACTGCTACAGATACGCAGAGGGGGGGGTGCAGTTACATTTCCTCCACGCTGAGCCGCATGTCATCGTTCCACTGCTGGCTCTTGAGCTGTTCTCCAGCAAGCAATGTGCTTCGTAGATCATGGGCACAGAGAAACGTCTTTCATCCCTCTGTAGATGGAGCGGATCTCACATCTAGACCTGAGCCAGTCTATAGAGGACTTAGTCTAGAGCAGCCCAGAGCTCAGACCAGGAAGCAGAGCTGCAGTCTTACACACTTCTCTGCGCTCCCATCTGTTATACAGTAGTGTACCGTGGCCCAGCTCTGCATTCTGAATCAAGTCTGAAGTCATGATTGTAGGCGACTTTAATATTCATGTGGATGTTGATGATAATAGCCTCAGTACTGCGTTTATCTCATTAGATTTGATTGGTTTCTGTCAGAGTGAACAGAAACCAACTCACTGTTTACCCCTCCACCTGGTTCTGACTTATTAAAAGAGAAGATTTAATAGTCTTTCCACAGAACCCTCTTGTATCGGACCGTTATCTAATAACCTTTGAATTCCTACTAACGGAGTGTACACCGTTAGGCAAGAGTTACTACACTTTAAAGAAGCGATTCCGTCTGTATTTAACTCAACACCATGCTTCAATATAACAGAGGACTCCTGTGATAACCGTCCCAGGTTGATCATCTTGTCGATAGAGCTACAAGCTCACTGAGAAGGACACGAGACTCTGTTGCTCCTCTAAAGAAGAAGTTAGTGAAACAAAGGAGGTTCGCTCCGTGGTACAACCCTCAAACACGCAGATTAAAGCAAACATCATGAAAACTTGAGAGAACATGTTGTTCCACCAGTTTGGAAAAATAAATGATCTCATGATATAGTTCCCATTGCCATGGCCTTAAGCCCCGTCATTAAGGATCTCAGAGTTCTCTTTGATCACGATGTCCTTTAACTCCCACCTAAATCAGGCACATCCTGTCTCCAACAAGTCTCTGAGGACTCTCCAGTTGATCCAAAGTGCTGCAGTACTAACAGAATGGTAAAGAGATCATATTACTCCATCTGTACGCACTCACGTCCCACTGATGCATGTTACTAACTTGGCTTCTTCACCGGAGTCTTTGTGCTTTCTCCCCGTGGCCCTGCTCAACACTCACTGCTGCTATGAAGGCTACTAAACCTCATCTACAGACCTGCAGATGGGACATACTGGAGTTCCCCACCGCTGGGCTGTGATTCAGTGTCACACACTGTACTAGTCAGATCATTACAGAGGCCACTCTGATCAAACACATCACCAAGAACAAAAGCCGTGCTGAATGAAGCCTGACACATGTTGGGGGAGGCCATGTGACACTGGAGGCTATTTCTGTCTAGAGGGTGCGAGAGGGGCGAGGATGAGAGAGGGAGGACATAGGAGAGGCACCGACAAGAGGCCAAAAGGCCACATGGAAGTATGTGTGTGTGTGTGTGTGTGTGTGTGTGTGTGTGTGTGTGTGTGTGTGGTGACTCACCCTCAAGTGTCTCCCAGTGTGGCTTGAAGGCTTCAGTCACTCTGTTCACTTCATGGCTCTCAGCATCACACTAGATGGAGCAGGAGAGTGTGCAGGCACAGTCATCACACACAGGAGATGGAAGCGTACTGAGGAGATGTTCAATACTAAAGATGGCCACCGTCAGTACACACTGCAGAGTGATTACATCACACAGAAGCAGCTCCTGTACTGACTCCCTCTAAAAATGGCATTTTAATATCATCAGATTCCCAGAGGTTGTGCCTGATGAACAGATGGTAGATAGCATGGCGAGCACAAACCACACGTCATGCTCTCTAATATACTGCTTAATGCAACCTTCATGTACACGAAGGAACAGGAATCCTCTTCAACAAAGGGACTGAGTCTACGCCATAACAATATAATACCGCATATCTGTATCATTATAACAGTTACTGCATCATCTAAACAAGTGTGACTGAAAGCATCCGTGTGATATAACCATGACTGAGGCCTGTAGAACTGACATTAGTCATTAGTCACTGAAGACGGAGGCACAGACTGTGTGACTGTGTCAGTGCTCACATCTGACTCACTGTGCATGCACCACAAACCCACCATTGCAGTGCAAATGTAGCCAACATGTAGATTTTCATCATTTCAATATCTTCAGCTGATCGTTCCGTGTGTACGTGCTTGTGTCAGAAACAAACAGCAGTTCGGACATGTGTCTGAGTGGATCACACTCTACCTCCCAGGAGTTCTGTCCGAGTGTGTAGATTTGGAGCGGTGCATCCCTGGAGTCCATCAGCACCCACAGACGGCCCTCCGGGTCAAAGGCCATATCCAGGGGACAGTGGGGCAGGAGGAGCCTGCTGTGTGGCACAAGCTTGTCTTGGCCCTCCTGGTCCAGGGTGAACAACTGGACGGTGGACACTCTGAGGACACACAGGACACGTCGAGCTGTTGAATCAATCAAGGGATTACTGGGTTCATCTATCATTGTATCAAATGTATGTTGAACGTGGAACATTGAAGCGATGGCTTCACTGTGTGCCTCTGACTCACAGTGAGTGTCATCTACATGCAAGTATGTGCTATAAAGCTCTACAGTGAGCCTGTGCCTCTGAGGATCAAACATACATCATGACCAAGTTAAAAGCAGCTCTATACACTTATTCTTAGTTGTAGTCGTTGGTGCTACTGGCTCACATTACTTCTTCACTCGCTCCACTTCTACAGGTTAGCTTTCCCTTCTGTGATCATTACGTCACATGACATCACTAATAGACTAATGATTCCCATACATCTCATTTACAATTCAAAAAAGGGATTTATTACTAAAACCTTTGTAACATAAAATCACTTTTGGGTAACACACAGCAGTTCATTGGTTAATCTTTTTCTTGGTATTCTCCCAGTTTTATTTGGGGGGGGGGGGGGGGGGGGGGGGGTTTTTGTG